AAAAAAAAAAAAGCAAAATATACAAGACATAAGGAATGGAAAATTATTTGTATGTATGTTGATGTGATTTATTGCACCAATAGACAGTGTATTTTTGATGGAAATTCATTTTGTATACTATAATGATGTATAGTGAATTAATGTAAAAAAAAGAAAAAAATTAAATAAAATATCAATTAATTAGTTAATTAATTTTAAAAAAATAAAATTAAATAGATAAATTAAAAAGAACTGCGGCATGACCAGGCCCCCACTAGGGGCCTCTCTCCCTCCCTCTCTCTCTGACATGGACACATGTTCTCTGACATTGAAAATAATAATAATAAGATAATTATATTTTCTCTGTAAATTTGAAAATAAAAAACTTTAAAGCACACAAAAGTCAAGGCTGAATAAATATATAACAGTAACTATAGTGATTATTGATATTTAGATATTTTAATTGCCAGAGGATATACATGCTCACCAGCAAGACAAGAGAGAGAAACAGACAGAGAAAAAGCACCCCAACCAGGGCATGGTCACGTCATAATCCCTCATTTCTCCATCCTGTTGTGATGTTGAGCATGCGCTACACGTGCTCAGCTTGTTTTTCAAGCTGCCAGGGCCACTATTTGAACTATGTGGTTCGGCCATGGAGGAGCTGGCTCCCTTAACCACTAGGGCTGGCCTGATATTTAGGGCTTTTTTAATAGCATGAAGTCTAAAAGTCTAAGGTTTAAAAGTCTAACAATTTTTTTCACTCAGATGCATAATAGAAATCATTTACAGTTTTCTTTGACTAACCAGATCCCAATTTTTAAATAAAATTTATAAGCCTTGAAAAAGAAAAGATGATAACTGAAAAGATGAAGGAGATGAATTTACCATGGTTCAAAATTCAGCAGTATATGAGCAATCTAAGAAACACATTTATTAGGTTATCACTTAAATAATAAGTGATAGGGGCAAGTAGATGACAGTGTGGTTAAGGTGCTAGACTCCTACATGGCCAATCGCAGCAGTTTGAGTCCTGGACCTGGTGGCTTGATTTCTCTCTCTCTCTCTCTCTCTCTCACTGGTGAGCGTACAAGCCCTGTAGCAAACTAAGAAATAATAATGGTGATAAATAAAATTAAATAAATAATTATTTTAAAAGATAGTAAGCGATGATGGAGAATGTGTATACTTAAACAGCCAAAGAGAATGAAAAATGTAGTTATGGGCCCTTCTGGCACCGATTCATGGCCTCCATTCTGGTGAATTTCCTTGCAATGTTTCATAGACACTGACTCACATCCAGACTCTCTACCAACTTCTTAGTCTTCTCCCTCCCGTGGCCCATTGATTCTTTATTTTATTTTATTGTATTTTTTCCCATAAGAGAAAGAGACAAACAGAGAGAGAAAGAAAGGCAAATATGTGCCCAATATAATCAGGGAAGTCTCTGGACTTGATCCAGGAACCTTCCCCGGAGGAATTGCCTTACAAAAAGTCATCTTTACCACTGTGGCACTATCCGCTCCCTCCCTGACTCATGCTTTGCACTATCCCATACGCTAATCTGCAGGCATCCTGAGTCTCACAAATTTATGTCGTCCCCAGAGGGAAATTCACCATTTTCACTGAGTCACTCAAGGTTTCCCACTGCTGAAATGGCATTGACATCTGGCTCCTTCTCCAGTGGTCGTAACGGGCTCGACTCTCTTCATTGGTCAGAATCTCCTTGGCCTTCTGCAGTTTCTGAAAGGTCTCCACTGGAAAACAAATCAAAAAATGAGCACTTTACTGTTGGAGGGGTTATTTTAAACGCTGCAACAATTACACTGATCTCACTAGAATCAAGACTCTGCCACTTGCTATCCATGTGACTTTGGGCCAGTTTACCTCTTTAAGTTTCAGTTTCCTCCTTTCATAAACCATATCATAAGGATAAGATCATATACGTGAAGCCTGACACACAGCTTATCCACTCCCCTTACTATCCCCGAGGGACGTTCCAAGTGCTATTCCAGGTACTGAAGGCACAGTGAACAACAGACATTACCAGCAGCAGAGACAAGCATTTTAAAACACTGGGAAAACACAATTTTGTCTTCTAGGAAGAGAACTACCATTTCTATGCTCGTCGCGTGAGGGAGGGTAGTGAGTAGGCAAGGACAGTACAAATGAAGACTCTGAGGCAGGAAGGCGTACAGTTAAGGAACTAGAGGGCGTGAACGTGGCTGGAGGATACAAGGAGCAGACAATGAGGGATGAGGCTGTGGAGCAGAAGAGGGCCCAGTTAGCTAGAGCTTTAGATAACATGCTAAGGGCTCTTGTCTGTTGGGTTGGGTTTTGTTTTGTTTTGTCTTGTTTTTCTTTTTTTGTTGTCGTTGTTGTTGTTGTTGTAAGAGCAAAAACTAACTGTGTTTCTACTGTTAGCAAAGAACAATTTGAAACTGAACTGTCTAAGTGAGATTTAGGTGATGCCCCAAGGAGCTCTGAGTATAGCTAGGGGTATCACATTTTGATACAATGTGACTTAAAAAGAACTATAGAGGCAAGACTGTTTCTTCTTGGGCAATCAGGATGCACTTCACTTGTTTTCCAAAGGTCTAGTGTCATTCTTGACTCCTCTTTCTTTCTAATCTTACTTCCAACCTATTAGGAAGTTTTGGCTCTGCCTTCAAAATATACCCAAGATCTCATGTCTTGTCACCTCCTGTATATCCACTGCCCTGTCCAAGCTGCCATTCTTTGTTCCTATTTTGTGTTTATTTTGCCATAAGGTGCCCAGAGAGACAGAGAAAGTGAGAAAGCACCCCCCAGGAGAAATGGCCACTCCACAATCTCTTCTTCTTCACTCTTCCCTCAGGATTTTGGGCATACACGCACATGCATCCGGCATGTTTTGCAAGCCACCAAATCCAGCACATAAACCAGGTGGTCAGCCATGTGGAATTCAGCCACCTTCACCACCATGCCACCTGGCTGACCCACCTTTTACGTTTATTTCTTCCAAGACAGAGAGAAAAAAGAGAGGCATTTGCAGCAGGATCTTCACACTGCAGTTCACCTTTGGTCTCAGCTGGCCCGGATCATGGGCACATAGGCAGCCAGCTCAGGGCAATCCCGGGGTGGATACCTAGGACCTTTCCCATGTGGGTCCAGTTGTGCTATGGCCGCACCACCACCTGGCCTCTGCTCTCTTCTTTTGGCTAGATAATTATTCATTACAGTAGCTCCTTTACCGATCTCCCCCTTCTGCCTATCTATTTTCTATAGCAGAGTGGTCTACTTAAAAGTAAGTCATAGCTCCGTGGCATGGCAGAAATGCATGGCTCAAGAGAAGCTGGATCTTACATGCAGATTGCAGTTTGAATCCCAAGCCTGGGAGTGTGAAACGCACTGGGCACATGCACTAGTGTCCAAATTCTGAAAAGCTCGAAACCTGGAGGAAGGGGATCACAGCATGACCAGATCCTGTGGAGGATCTGGCTTCTCTCTTTCTCTCTCTCTATCTTAAATTTTGTGCACATACTCTATCATGAATTAAGAAAATAAATAAATAAATAAGAAATGTCACATACTGTGACTCCTCTGCTCAAAACTTGAGTGTGCTTGGTGTTCTGAAGGAAAAGCCAGTAGGGCTGGAGCAAGAAGAGGTAGGGGGAAATAGAAGGAAATAAGATCCAAGAACGAAGAGAGGGACAAAGGTCACACCTAGCAGCCATGGTAAGAACTTTGGATTTGGGGACCAACGTAATGGTTACATTGCTGGACTTCCACATGGTCAACCATGGTTTGAGTCCCAGACCTGGCAGCTTAAATTCACACTGGGCGCCTGTGCATGCGTGCCCAAAATCTCAACAGGAGAATGAAGGAGAAGGGATTGTGGCATGGCCATCCCCCCAGGGGGTGATTTCTCACTTTCTGTCTCTCTGGCTCTCTAGCAAGTGCATCTGCCCTATAGCAAAAACCTCTCAAAAAAAAAAAAATATCTCATGAGAAGTAACCAAGATAATCTGAAATAGATAATGTTAAGGCAAATGTGCAGACAGTACTTACAGTACCATGACATCAATCATGAAAATTGTGAACTTCTATACTCTAGTTAGTAAAGAGTCCCTGTCCCCTAAACACCACCACATCCAGAGTTCCCTCAGTATCTATCAATCTTGTCTGATACATCAGACCTCCACTATGCTGCTCAAAATTTGGACAGCACTAGAACTCTGCAAGCCATTAACAGTTACTTATTTACTTATTTATTTGAGAGATTTTTGTTATACATGCACTCACTGAAGAGACAGAAAGCAAGAAATCACACACGCACACACACACACACACACACACACACACACACACCCAGGGTGGATGGCTATGCCACAATCCCTTCTCCTCCATTCTCCTCTCAGGATCTTGGGCATGCATGCACATATGCCTGGAGTGAGTTTTGAAGCTTCAGGTCCAGAACTCAAACCGCCGTCAGCCATGTGAGAGTCCAGTGCCTTAACCACTAAGCCACCTGCTGGCCCCACCATTAACTCTTTTAATATCAACCCTTTAGTCCATTAAAGAGAAGAACCTAAAGATGGGGCTATTGAAACTTACAGGAAAACAAACAACATCGAAGCATCTGTCCATAGCAGCTCACTTCAGTAAGCAGTCTCTCCTGTTGCTGACGACAATGTAACTGTCCCATTGTATAACTGAGATGTTGCTTTTTCCAAAGGGAAGAAACAGCTTATTAAATTATCGCCAGGGATGCACATACCAGTTACTCCGAATGCAGTAGCTGTAACGATTTACATCTTCATCTGTGAGTCACCCTCTCTTTGCACTTTCCTGTTGGTCTCCCTTTTCAGAATTTCCAGAACAGAAAAAGCCCACTTAAAACTATTCCGATGTCAATCCTTCAACAGCAGTTGGATAAGCAGAAAGAAAAAGAGACATTATCTTTCCTGCTATGTGGCCTGTTCTGCTCTAACCTCTTCAGCACATTTAATAAAAATGAGTCTGGGGAACCAGCAGTTAGCGTAATGGCTGTGTCGCGGGACTCCCACGTAGTCGACCACAGTTCGCGTCCTGGACCCGGTGGCTTAAAACTCATGCCATGCGCGTGTGCATGCGTGCCCAAGATCCCGAGAGGAGAATAGAGAAGGGATTGCAGCATGACCATCCCCCCTGGGGGGTGATTTCTTGTTTTCTGTCTCTCTGTCTCTCTGTCTGGCGAGCGCACGTGCCTTATAGCAAAAACCTCTCAAAAAAAAAAAAAATGAGTCTGCATCCTCTGTTATATCAGCTAAAAGAAAAGAATGACTCACACAAGATCAACATTTACCAGTTCATTTAAGTTTACTGGTGAGGTAACTGGTAAGTTTATATCAGCAAATGTTGCTGAAATCTTTAAGAAACATTCTGATTTAACTCCTGGGTCTATTTTGAAAATAAAGAGGTTCTCTTACATTCTTATTTCATGATAAAACTTGTAACACTACCAGGCTATCTTGGTGGTACGACACTAACGCACTGCTCGAATGAAGCTGGACGCATATGTAAGATCGAGGGTTTGGTTTCCCAGTCAACCTGTACATGCCAGGCATACACACAGCCATGATCGTGACTGGCTGGAGAGGCTGGCAGGGCTGGGGATCACAGCGTGGGACCCTATTGAGCATGCACTCACACATACCTGACATGTTTTTCAAACTGCCAGGTTCAGGATTCAAACCATGGTGGGCCATGTAAGATCTGGTTCTCTTAACCAGCAGGCCATGGGGCCAGTTCAAGAGAGAACTATTTCTAAAGGCCTCAGATTGAGAATGTTTTTACCGACTATAAGAAAGATCTACTGGTTACTTTTAAAAAAGAAAAGTATCCATTTTGTTAAATTTTATCTTGAGCTGTTATATAAAAACAGGGAAAGAAGGGGCCAGCAAGTGGCATGGTGGTTATAGCACTGAATTCCCATGTGGCCCACCACAGTTCGAGTCCCAGACCCAGCGACTTGAAAAATCACACTGGGTGTATGTATATTCATGCTCCAATTCCCAAGAGGTAAATGAAGGAGATGGGATTACAGAGTGACCATCCTCCCTGGAGGTTACTTTCTCACTTTCCCTCTCTCTGTTTCTCTCGGGTGAGCACACATGCTCTATGGCAAAACATTTCATTTAATTTAGTTTAATTTTTTAAAATAAAAAGGAAAGTGCACCTAATAATAATTGCCAACGTTCATTGATCACTTCCCACATAAAGGGCAATCTTTTTAATCTTCATAGCAGACTCATAAGGTAATATACTATTAGTCTACCCATTGTACTAATGAGAATGCTGAGGCTCACAGAGGTTGCCTAAAGTGGGGACCTGCAGTAAGCGTAATGGCTATGTCACTGGACTCCCATGTAGTCAACCGCGATTCAAGTCCTGGATTCATTGGCTTAAACTTACGCCAGGCCCGTGTGCATATGTACCCAAGATCCTGAGAGGAGAATGGAGGAGAAGGGATTGTGGCGTGGCCATCCCCCTAGGGGGTGATTACTCGCTTTCTGTCTGTCTTCCCAGAGATCACACGTGCCCTATAGCAAAAAACTCTCAAAAAAAAAAAAAAAGAAAGAAAGAAAAGAAAAAAAGAAAGAAAAGACAAGAAAAGAGAAAAGAAGAGAAAGGAAGAGAAGAGAAGAGAAGAGAAGAGAAGAGAAAAGAAAAGAAAAGAAAAGAAAAGAAAAGAAAAGAAAAGAAAAGAAAAGAAAAGAAAAGAAAAGAGAGGTTG